GCTAATGAGTGTGTGACATTTAGTTCCTCTGATCTTTATTTCCTCATCTGCAAGATTAATCTGTAGTGACGATTCAGTGAGAGAATGTGTGTAACATACCTGGTTTAGAGTAAGTGCTCGCTAAACGATACCCAGTAAATTAAAGCAATGAGTGATACGCAATAAATCAAATCTAGAATAAGTCCCCACAAGCAGACCATCTAATAAGACAATGATATCAGTGTTTTTTTCTTGGTTACCCAAAGCTGATAATTTTCTTGTTTTTGAGGCCATGTTCCCCTCAGAGTAGCAATTAATGAAAGAAGAATAGGACTGCAGCATCCCTGCTGGACTAGGAGATCCATGTGAACAGCGGCCACATTTGCCTTACTGGGTCCTGTATGCCTGGAACATAATGAGCGCTCAAGGGTTATTTTTAAATGAATAAATTGCAGTTCTATCCATGCCTTCTGGCAAACAAATTTTCGCCCTCGCTTGTTGATTAGGCAAGTCCTGATTCAATCTGGATTTTAAAAAAACAAAAACAAAATCTACCAAATTAAAAGTTACCATGTGAACACATCAGTTGGCTTTCAAAGCTTCTGAAGCCCCAAATTTTAACTTAATTTTTCCATTCAGAAATTACTTTTGAGAAATAAGGCGATACTAGAAGATCCACAGTATACCATGGTGTGCCCCTATATAGAGATGTAAAGAGAACAAGATCGGAGCAAACCAATCTGCTTTATTGGTGACTGACGAAGGAACATTTTCATTAGTTTGACAAAATAGACTTCATCATTTTGGCAAAGATAGAAATTGGTGAAAATGACGTTGGAGGATTACTGCTTAATGTATGAGAACACACTACACACTGTCGTTTTGTGCTTGTTAACCAGAAGTCTATTAACTGCTGCTTCAGCACATACTCATGTCCTCCTAAGTCAATCAGAATTTACAGAGATGACCTCAGGAACCACAACCAGAGGTACTTTCTGAGTCATCAAAGAAAAATTAAATTATCCTCATTCAGGGTCTCCCGTCAATGCACTTACTACTTTCTCATTCTTTGAAAATTGGCTAACTGGATATTTGATTTACTAGTATATCTCTGCGTCCTCATTAAAGCTCAGTACACAGATTTTACTCTAAAATAATATTACTAAGTAGTACTAAGAATAACCACCTCAATCCCCCATTATAGAACTCATTTCTTTCTCCCTTGCCGGATTAGTTTTAAGCTTTCCAAACAGGGTTGCCAAGTAAAACACAGAATGTCCTTTAAATTTGGTACAGATAAACAGCAAATAAATTTTTTTAATATGAGAATATCCCATGCAATATTTGGGTCATACTTATACTAAAAAAGTATTCATTGTTTTTCTGAAATTCTAATTTAGCTGGGCATCCTGTTTCTTGTTTTGTTTTGTTATTTGTTTGTTTGTTTGCTAAATCTGGCAACACTATTTCCAAAAGGTTTGACACGTTGCCGGACTAAACCACATCTGAGCCAGCCTACTATGGAAGATGATGATTAAAAACTAGCATCTCATTCAGACTTTGAATTAATTGTTAATATAATTTTTCTCCTAATCATTGTTAAAAGTCAGTCATATAGTTTTTGATCAAAGGCAAATCAAGGTCCCTCTTCATTGTTCGATTAAAAACTAGCATCTCATTCAGACTTTGAATTAATTGTTAATATAATTTTTCTCCTAATTATTGTTAAAAGTCAGTCATATAGTTTTTGATCAAAGGCAAATCAAGGTCCCTCTTCATTGTTATTTTGAATAAGGCAGACATGCAGAAGGAATAAGTTTAACTTGCACTGTGGCTGAATGAGGACTGGGCATCAGTAGGTTTGTGGATCTGTAAACTGCCCCAGCCAGCTCTGCATTAGAGAAAGGGCATTAATCTGGTGAAGGTTCTGCTCTCCTTACAATATTGAAGTTAATTATGTTTTTCTCCAAATGTAACATCTGGTCCCCATTACCAGCTAAACTGACTTTATAAAAGCTGGTTTTGAATCAAGCAGGTGTGACCACAGTGGCCAAAAAATGTGACTTCTATTTTTAACACTATAGTTTCATAGTCCCTCAGTGAAATAGTTTTGGTAAATCTTTTTTTTAATCCCCGTTGAGTTTATTCTTGGTTTCCAGATCCCAGCCTGGAGCAAATACTGTGGTTGAATTACAGGAAAGGGTGCTTGAGAAAATGACAGTTGCCTTTTATTGTATTAAGAAGTTGATTCATTGAACAAATATTTGTTGAGCAAATACTATGTCTCATATAGGGCACAAAGAGTCATAGAAAATTAAAAAAAAAAAATAGGACTTGGTTTGTGCCCTGAAAAAACTTAAAATCTGAGGAGGCAAACAGCAGCAATCCAGAGAACTAAATATGACCATCAACATGAGAAATGCAGAGACAGTATTGGAAGAGTCCCAGAAAAGGAAAACCATGTCCAGTTGCAGAGATTGGAAAAACTGAATAAATGATGTGGCATTTGAAAATGGGTCAAGATTTTAAGCAGTTCAGTTAGTGGGAAGGGTAAGATGATGGAGAATTCCTAGTGGAGGGAGTGGAATGAGAGAAAACCTCCCCAGCCCTGGAGGTGAAGAAGGTCTTCATCCCACTTGCCTCCAGCAACAGGAGTTAGTGAGGACAGGCCTTGTAAGGACATGATACAGAAGACCTTGCATGCTCGGTTGTAAAATACCTGCATAATTCCTAGGTGAGCAAAGTCTGGATGTTTGTGTAACGAAATGACATGATCTGAACTATACAATTTAAGTGGAAAGTATCCCAGTAATTAATTCTTAAGGTTCAACTGATAACATGAGCATGGTTTAATTGCTTTAGATTCATGCCTCTCAGGATGGTTATATTTTTAGGGTAAGTGTTGATTACAGTATGCAGAATTGGGTTGTTTCAACGTTATCATTCCCGTGCATGTCCTTGACTGAGATGTACACTTTTAAAAGGAGAATCATTGAAGTATTGGATGCTTTGTTATTAAGCCACCAATCAGTTAATCATTAACACTCTCCTTGTGCTCAAAATCTACTTGAGCTGCTATAGAAAATATGAAAAGATTTATGATTCTGTTCATTGCCTTCAAGGATCTTATAATCTAGCTGTGGATGTAAGACTAACAATCTTAAAACATCTACAGAACTGTATAATACTAAGTTCTGTGCTACTTACTATACCTGTATCATATTTCTGATAAGAGAGAGCTCAGAATAAAGGCTAGAGTAGTTTGAGAAGTTTTCATGATGAGTCTTAAGCTGGGTCTTAAAGTTTGAGCAGAATATGCCTCTCTCAGTGGGAGGAGAGAGGAACAAATTTTGAGCAAAGACAGTGATGGGGATTATATCTATAGTACATGAGAAGATAATTGATAATTGGAATACATTGTCAATAATAGGAAATAAAATTAGATAAATGTGGTGAAACCAAAATGAGGGTCTTGAAAGCCAGATAGAGACTTTTGATATCTTCCAATAAATAATGGGAGCCACGGTAGATTTTTTTAAAGATCTTTCTTTTTTTATTATTATGGTAAAAAAACACTTTATTTAAAATTTACCACTTTAACCATTTTTAAGTGTACAATTTGGTTGCGTTAAATCACATTGTTATGCAACCATCACCATTATCCATTTCCAGAACCTTTTAATCATTCCGAACTGAAACTCTGTCCCCATTAAACACTAACTCCCCATTCTGCTCTCCCCCCACACCCTGACAACTACCGTTCTACTTTCTAGTCTATGAATTTCACTCCTCTAGGAACCGCATGTCAGTAGAATCGTACAATATTTGTCCTTTTGTGTCTGGCTTATTTCACTTAACAATGGGACATTTTTGAGCACGAGAATGACATGCAAAAACAATGTTTTACAAATAGTCATATGGCAGTCAGTGCAGTGGAGATTCAACATTGGGGCCTGGGAGGCCAACCAAGGGACCATTTAGCAACCTGGCCAGGGGCACTCAGATGAGAATGATGCCAAAAGGAACAGGGATTGCAAGGCAGGCCCAACATTTTTTTTTTTTCTCTTTTCTTTTTAAACAAAAACATGACAGGATTTGGTAGCAAAACAAAAATGGAAAATGGAAGACAGGGAAAGACAAGATGACTAGGCAGGAACTAGCTGAGTGCTGAGGCACCAGTTAACTTGTATAAGGTTCAGTAAAAGGAATCAGTGTCAAGGGGAAAGGTCTCATTTGGTCTGGATGTGGTACATTTGTGATGACACTGGGACATTCATGCGTAAGTTTCCTAATGCAATTAGAAATAGTGGTAGGGAGGGCAGCTGAGGGGGAAAATGTGCACTATCCTTGGACACTCAATCCAAACGCCACCTCCCCTGGGAGGTCTCCGGCATCTCTCCAAGCTGAATCAGGTATGTACTTTCTCCTCACCTCCTGGTCACCATCTTTTTACCTTTGTTTTAGCACCTTTGTTGCTGGTGTACTTGTTTCTTTACATACCTCCAGTGCATAATAAACTACGAACTTCTTTTGGGTAGGGCCTGTACTGGATTTGGGGATAATTTCTTAATGTCAAAAAGAGCGGAACAGCAACAGTTTGACATTAAACTTAGAAGAACTGAAAAGGGGGAGTTTCTTTACATACCTCCAGTGCATAATAAACTACGAACTTCTTTTGGGTAGGGCCTGTACTTGATTTGGGGATAATTTCTTAATGTCAAAAAGAGCAGAACAGCAACAGTTTGACATTAAACTTAGAAGAACTGAAAAGGGGGGAAATGTATGTTCTTATTGAAGATTTTCTTTCCTGAGATGTGAATGTAGGGTGGGGAGTTCTGAAAAACCAGGATAAAGCTTTGAGGGAGGGAAAGCTCTAGTTTGATGTAAAATAATCCAGAGATTGAAAGTTTTCTATGACTGGGTGCCAGACCATGTCTTAATTCAATATGTTGTATTTCTTTCTAAGCATGGAGTCTCCCGGGAAATCACTTTTTCATTCTCTCTTTCATCCCACTTCCTAGATTATCCTTGCTCTGGAATGCTGGGCATGGTGTCTGGACTTATTTCTGACTCCCAGATTACGGCATCAAACCAAGGAGACAGGAACTGGATGCCTGAAAACATTCGCCTGGTAACCAGCCGCTCCGGCTGGGCACTGCCACCCGCGCCTCATCCCTACATAAACGAGTGGCTCCAAGTGGACCTGGGAGAGGAGAAGATTGTGAGGGGCCTCATCATTCAGGGGGGGAAGCACCGAGAGAACAAGGTGTTCATGAGGAAGTTCAAGATCGGGTACAGCAACAACGGCTCGGACTGGAAGATGCTCATGGACAGCAAACGCAAGGCGAAGGTGAGGTCTGGGGACAGGGAGCAATGGCCTGGGGAGGAAGTCATTCCTCACGTCCTTGACTTATTTCAAGGGTGTCAGTGTTTTCCTGAGGAAGTGCTACTTCTTACTTCCTTTAAGCTGTAAGATCAGTGGGGGATGTGATGGTGTCAGTAAGACCCCGATCCTGGGGAAGGCAGGAATAGCTGCTGAAAGTGATGTCTGCAATGAACAAAGAAAAGACCTGCCTTGCACATCCCCTTTCCCTCCCTGTGGGGAAGGCCAGGCAGCTCAGCACTCAGACAGGAGATAGTGCAGTCCTGAGGGTGGGGGCCGCGGTGACAGCAGCGACCCAGCAGAACTCCAAACCTCTCCGCAGATTCTACTCTGTCGGGGAGGTTTCCCCTTCTCTCACCCAGCCCTGCTTTAAGTGTATTGTTCTGTTTTTTATTTTTTAATTGTGGTCAAAGACACATAATATTAAAATTGACCCATCTTTTTTAAGTGTACACTTCAGTAGTGTTAAGTATATTCATGCTCTTGTGCAACCAGTCTGCAGAATTTTCTCATCTGCAAAACTGAAACTTGATCCCCATTAAGCAATAACTCCCACCCGGCCTCTCCCAGCCTCTGGTGACCACCCTTCCACTTTCTGTCTCTGAATTCGACCACTCTCTTATAACTGGAATCCTACAGTATTTGTCCTTTTGACTGGCTCATTTCACTTATTGTAATGTCTTCAAGGCGCATCCATGTTGTAGCATGTGTTAGAATTTTCTTCCTTTCTAAGGCTAGGTAATATTTCATTGTGCATTGTACATATAGACCACGTTTTATTTATCCATTCATCCATTGATGGACACTTGGGTTGCTTCCACCTTTTAGCTATTGTGAATAATGCTATATTTCTTGTGCATTGGAACCTTTTAACATGCACTTGGCTCTTGATAATTCAAGAGAAGGGAATCTCAATATAAAAATATTCCAACATGCACAAAAACACATGGTACACTTTTCTTAGCCAAACAGATATACATTAGTAATTATGTTTTACTTAGGCTGATGGCTAAATTTACTTGTGTTTCCTGAGCATACAACACCAACTTGGAAAGGATGTCTAGGAGTATGGTAGGTGGCCCAGAAGCTGGTTTAGGATTAAAATTAGGAAGAACCCCCAGACAATTGGCAGTTTAGGTCCTGAACGCAGTCTCTGAATTATATTTAGCTGTGATACTTCTTACACCAACCCAGTTGGCCTTGGGTTTTAACCTTTCCAGTCCTACTCTGCCAAGGACGTACACCTCTTGTGAGAAAAAGATTTTAGCTCAGTGGAGGGAATATTATCCTCACTCCCACCCTAATCAAGTGTGGGAATATGGCTTAATATGGTGACTCAGGCCAAAGCATTGCAGGCAGGAAACATAAGCTGAGCACTGCTGCCAGCTCTCACTCCCTCCAGATGTGGGGCTCTGAGGAGACCCCTGTCCCCCATGGGCTGGAGGTCAGCAGCAGAGAAGTGGACCACTGACAGGGTGATGCATTCAGAAATATACAAATTTCTCCCCCGCCCCTCTCCTCCATTACTTGTTGTTTCTAAAACATTCTCATTGTTATATTTCTCTATGTGCAGCTACCTTCATTCTTGTGTCCATTCCATTTACCCCTTTTACATCTGTCTCTCTTGTTTTGGTGAAAGAAAACGTAAACTAAACATCAGACACGGGAGTTCCCTTATGAGCCAGTCTGTTCTGAGGAGCAGTGAGCGTTGAGCGTTGTGACTTCATCCCAAAGCGTGAACGTGCTACAGATCAGCAGCTTCTTGGAGCCGCTGTCGGGTAGCAGTGTGTGCTGTTGTGACAGGTTCTTCAACACTCTGGTTCTGAGAGAGGAGGAACACCAGTCCCCATATGCTTTAGATAGGACGCGTCCTGTGCTTTCCCAGGGTAGTTATCTAATCCACGCGTCTGCAACCAAGTCTAAAGCTACCACTGCAGGGTGGTAAATCCAGTGCAGAACACCATGAGAAACCAACACACGTGTTTCATCTTCAACCAAATACTCAATTCAAGAGTGGCTGAATGTGTTAGGTTTTATTCCTAAAATATGATTCTATCCATCATTATCATCTTCCTGTGGTATTTAAAACCATAAAAGCTTCTAAATTGTTTATATAGAGCCTAATCTATCATTACTAACACGCCCTTCCACTGAAATAAAATCTCTAAGATGAAAAAGGAAACTGGCAAAACCTTCAATTTCAGAGCAGCACATGTTTTTAAATTTTATGAAGATATTTTAGAACTTACTATATTTAATTTTACAAATGAAGGTTACCTGCTTAGAATGCCAAGTACCTTTTATGTAAAAGTGAAATGAATACTCTGTTTTGTGAAATGAAAAGCACTTTGATGGATTTAAAATCCTTTCCTCATTCCCTACCCCTAAATAGTGCGTGATGAACAAGGTATATCAGAGTCTTTGAATTAACCAGACTTTTCAGGAACAGACAGAAAAGGCTTCATCTTCTAAAGCATGATTAGCAGCAGAACACAAAGAGAATTCATAAGCAAGTTTATGCCATCTGGGTTTTCTTTTTTTAAATATTTGGTAGCTGGCTGTTACAAGGATCTGAACCCTTGACCTTGGTGTTGTAACACCACGCTCTAACCAACTGAGCTAACCGGCCAGCCCTCCTAGCTGGGTTTTCATTGCTAATACTCTTCCCAGCTTACCACTGACAGCTTTTATAACATACTTACATTGTGTTGATTCTTTGCTCAAGTTAAAATTAAGAGAAGAGCCTAGAACTCCATAGATAGAAAGGCTTTTCTCCTATGATCTTTGCAGCTATGTTAACATAGGCAGAACTTGCATGTGTAGTAATGGTATTTTCATTATAATTAGTACCTTACTGACAACAGCTTAATTGGGCCTCACAACAATATATATCAGGTTCTCAATTACTGGCAGCAGTTGCAGTTCTATCAAGAGTGCAGAACCCTGATAGTGAATTTACTCTTGAAAAAAAAATAGAAGGAAACTTTAATTGGGAGAGGAAGGTCTATGTTAGGGACACATTTTAGATTCCTTGAGGCTTTCCTGAGTCGCAAAAGGCATGACCAAGTTTTAGGAACTTCATACAATGTTTGATATATCAAAGGGCATTCCCAATGATAAGACAATTTCATTTTTCTAATCCCCCTCCTATTCTCCCATTCTGGATGGGATTAATGGTGTTGGGAAAGGAGGATATAGGGAGGCTTATCCTTTTTTTGAAAAAGAGAACAGGCCTAGTCATTTCTCCATTTTCTTATGATTTCACTCAAGGATTTCAACCTTCCTGTCAATGTGAAAAGGGAAATAAAATAAGCCAGCAGCCACCCTGGCAGTGGGTGGCCTAGTTCCTGAAAAATGTCACAGTGACTTCGAGTTAGGAACAAACTTCAAAAGAGGTGCCAGCTCCTACCACAATTCAATCAGGAATCAGAACGTTACTTAATAGTCAGGACTCTTGTTACTTTTTAAGAGAAGGGAGGTCTTTTATCTACAAATGACTCCAACTGGTGGTACTTCTTAAGTAAACAGCAATTTCAGTGGCTTGGAATAATCCAAGTTCTTGAGTAAACAGCATGGATAGTACATTACATTTACTATCTCCTACTTCAGAAATGTAATTCTTCCCTCTTCTAAAGGAACAAGTTTTAGCAGAACTGGGACGCTCTCATTTAAGAGAATGTAACGGGTATTTATTGAAAATGGGGCGTCTATTATAAGCTCAGAAAGATGGCAAGCTCTCTTCCTGAGTTATCTCCCACCACCTTGAGGAAGGGATAGAAGTGTCACTTCTCCAAGGCATATCAGCAGATCATTTTAAAATATCTCATTAAATCCTCAGCTTCTGGTATAGCCTCGGTGGGTACTCCAAAGTCTCCGAGAAGTGACATCTGCCACTTCTTTAGAGAAGGTTTAATTGTTTTCTACTTTCTCCTTTATGAAAGAAATGTTTGCTATCTATGAAGTGGTAGAACGAGGCCAATTTTTCTGCCTATTGAGAGCTGCTGAAAAGGTGGTCTTTTTATTTTATTTTTTTTCTTGCTAACCAGTGTTTTTCATGCTTCACAGTCTTTTGAGGGCAACAACAACTATGATACACCTGAGCTGAGGACTTTTCCACCTCTTTCCACACGATTCATCAGGATCTACCCTGAGAGAGCCACTCACGGAGGACTAGGACTAAAGATGGAGCTGCTGGGCTGTGAGGTGGAAGGTAATTACAGTTCCCAGAGTCCCTTCTAGTTTCCTACTTATTTTTTAAATTTCCTTTTTCATGCATGTATGTTCCTGCTGGTGCTGTCGCAATTTGCCACCTTTGCCCTGGGTGACCCTGCATCTCTGTGCCTACCAGTCAGGGAGGCTCAACACTCTAATACGTACCATGCAGCTGTGCCTTGAGAATCCTACTTTTGTCTTGGTGTTCACATAACTCTCCTCAGATTCTATGGGATTGTCTCTTTTGACTTTTTTCCCTGCATCTCTGTGCCTACCAGTCAGGGAGGCTCAACACTCTAATACGTACCATGCAGCTGCGCCTTGAGAATCCCACTTTTGTCTTGGTGTTCACATAACTCTCCTCAGATTCTATGGGATTGTCTCTTTTGACTTTTTTAAAAAAATAATGTATTGGTCTGAAATTCACACACCATAAAATTCACCATTTTAAAGTGAACAACTCAGTAGCCTTTAGTGCATTCACAATTGGTTGTTCAATCACCACCTCTACCTAGTTCCAGAACATTTCCATCTCTCCAGAGTAAAATGCCTTACCTGTTAAGCAATTTTTCTCCCACTTCTCCCTCCCCCAACTCCTGACAACTACCAAGTTCTGTGACTTTTCAAATATTGTTTAGAGGGCTGTGTCTGACCCAAATTTCTGTCTGGAGTGCTGACAACCATCACATGTTAGCAGGAAGCAGCATTTGACAGACTAAGACATCCAGACATCATCTCTGATGAATTTCTTAGGCTGCAGCAGAGAAACAAAACTTTACATGAGATAGTGTATATGAAAGGACAGTGAGGTTTAAGGTATTACTGCATGTGCTTAGATTATCACATGAAGGTCATATCAGGCACAAATTCAGTTCACACTCTGACCTCAGGACTGCACTCTCTTTTAACATGTAATAGATTAGAAGAATGTTTTGAATTGGTTGTTGTACCATTTAATGCTTTTGTGCATTAGGATTCCCATCTGTCTTAGATTTGGGCGTAAATGAGTAACCTTACACCAGCTTTTCTATCCGCATAGAGGTCTTTCTCCAGGTTAACTCAAAGAATGGCTATTGTTGGTACCCAGATGTTAATCAATTGAGCATATGCCCATAGTTGTTTTGAAGAAGTCTTTTTAAAATCACCTTCTTCTTGCGGTTTTGAAATTATTTGTTTCAAGTTACCCAAATATAATCACATTTCTGAGCATATTAAATACCATAAAACTTTTCTTACGCACTACAGAATCTTACGCTACCAATTACCGTACTACTGAATAATTCATGGCTACATTTCTATGTGTTTATTTATCTCCCATTCTTTACTATGGGGGTGTTTCCATATCTGTAGTCATGTTCTGGGCCTCTGAATTATCTAATCACAATCAGCACAGACCAAGAATGACCATGTGCCAGGGCTTTGGCAAAGATGCCAAGAAAAAGAAGGGATGGACAGATTGAACTAACTGCAGACATGTTCTTTCAGTACAGAGAGATGTGGTCATCTGGAAAAGGGAGCCTGCCACTATGATGCAGGTCTTTAGCCCAGATTCTGGAAAGCAACACTGATTTAGGAGGTGGAGTGAATGGATAGTTGAAAAGACTGAGTCTGGTGGCAGTTTGCCAGTGTCAACTCCTTAGTGAGGTAGAAATTGTTGGTGAAGGGATTTGCCTGCAGATGTTTCCAAGCACTCACAAAAGTGAGGAAGTTGCCCCAAGTCATATGAGAAACCAACATCCTGGGAAAGTAATGTCAAAGCTCTTTAACACAAATGGTGAAAGGGAATGCATTTCTTAAATCAATGACTAGGCCCTTATTAAATATCTATTTTGTGTCTTGTTCTACGGGAGACACCTAAAGGCATATGAAAAGAAGATGAGGTACAATCCAGTCTTCCAGGAGTGTCCATCCTATTTTGAGCTAGCACTTATATTTAAGAAACAGAGAGCCGCAGAAGATAATATATTTTTAAATAGCAAAATTGGGCCATAAAAAGAATTCGCTTTGTACTTTTTTTAGTTTAATCTAGGAACTACCCTGAGCCACTTCCAATGAGGAACCCCTCCTTTATAAACACCATAAGGAATGCAGAAAAATCAGCAAAATAAAAAGAGAGTTTAAAATACCTAAAAGTAGCACATTATCAAGATCAAGAACACCTTAGGAGAGACAAGTATCAGGATTGCCAGAGAGGATTCTACTGATTCAGTGATAGCAATCAATAGAACCCAGATCGTGGTGTATGCATTTTACAAAGTCTGGATTGCAGGCCTGAATGGTGTGTATATTATCTGTACATGGTGATTTCCTAGTTATTATTGGTGTATGTATTTGGGCAATTGAAGAAGTTGACACTTAGCCATGTTTTTACATTTATCATAACTCTGCTATGTACTTAAGCCCAATAACAAACAGTGTCAAATTTTTATTGAGAAAGCAGCAGTTACCAGCACATTCCTTACTGGCCAGAAGCTATAAGAGAACAGGCCCCCCACTCCCAGCAACTGGTATGGCTCTCAGACATCAAGAGAACTGTACATTATCTCAAGTCTTGTAAAGTGAAATGTAATACCCAAAACTGTAAAATATTAAACAGATTGCAAAAATGAGTAACAGGCTGAAAAAAAAAATGGAACTTTAAAAAAAAAAAATTTAAGAACTTCAAAAGCAGTCTTTGATTAATGTTGGCTACCTTTCAACTACAAATTCAAAGATATGGGAATAGCTTCCAACAGTGGAATGCAATCCTATGGGAGTTCAGGTAAAATGACCCCGGGATGTCTGACACAACTCTTCTTACACACCTGCTCTGGAGGGAGGAATCACAGGGTGAAAAGCTGCTTACAGGGAACTGAAATGACTCTTTATTTTATTTTATTTTTTAAAATTTATTTGTCCTTTTTGAGACCAGCCGCACCGTGCTCAGCCAGTGAGCACACCGGCCATCCCTATATAGGATCCGAACCCGCAGCGGGAGCACTGCTGCGCTCCCAGCGCCGCACTCTCCCAAGTGCGCCACGGGCTCGGCCCTGAAATGACTCTTTAAAAAAGGAATAATATTGCACTAAACATGAATGTTGAGACTGCCTTTTAGGGAAAAATTTTAATATAAACTTAACAAACTTAGTAAAGACTAAAAATATAAAAGAATTCATGACAAGTGTGTTCTCTAGCACCTTGAAAATGAAAGGAAAAACAGTTCAAGCAAAATCTCTATCATCAAAATTCTCAGCTCCAGGGTCATGAATAAACAGCCAGTGAGAATTCAAGAGCTTTTCATAAGAAGCATGTTTATGTAGATAACAATGTATAAAATCCTAAAGCAGCCAATTCTATTCAGTAGATATGGATCAAATACCAAAACAAAGCAGTCTTTGATGCATTTTGTAAAATCCAAGTATATTTAACTCCTGAAAAAGAGGCAAACCATGCCCCTGGCCTTCTTAGAAGCAGATTAGAGTTTTCTGCAAAAGTGCTAGCAGATTTAACAGCCAGAGGCTTGAGAATACATTTCAGAGGTGTAAGATAATCCTTGGATCCTGTTGCAGCACCTACAGCTGGACCGACCACTCCCAATGGGAACCTGGTGGATGAATGTGATGACGACCAGGCCAACTGCCACAGTGGAACAGGTGATGACTTCCAGATCACAGGTGCAAAAACCATCTTCATCCCATTGCTCTGCCATTTCAATTCATGCCGTAGCTGCAACCAGCTAATGCCTGTTTGTGTTCTTGTAACTCCGTGTGGTGGTGGGCATCAGGGTGGTGGCAGAGCTGCCCCGGGAGTAGGGACAGCATTGCCAGAACATGTGCCTCTTCATTTCCTCATGTCATCCATGTAAGCACATTGTTCTTAATAGCCACAGCCACTGAAACAATCATTTTAGCCCTTTTCATAGCCGAAGGCTAGAATTATCTTAGTTGAATAACAATTTCTCCATGGCTAAATGTGCTAAACTGATCTCATCCTCAACCTCCCCCCCTCACCCGATAACACATGCACCACCCATACATAACCACCCACTTCAGAATGTTTATTTTCATTTTATAATGTGGACAAGTTTCTTTGAGTGGGTCCTTTATGTAGCTAATTGATGAAATTAGATTTATATTTGAAATGTGGCTTTTAAGTTAAGATCTTGTAAATAATTTTACACTGAAATTCACCAAGGCATAATTAGTTGTTATTTCACGTCACCACCAACTAGCAAATATGTCACAGACGGTATGTGCCAAATGCCTCCCTAATTAATCTAGATTAATTACTTCCTAATTTTCAAAAACCCTAAAAGCTAGAAAGTGGCTGTCTCTTCCACTTGTAATGGAAAAAGAAATATTAGGCAAGTGGGGAAATAGGATTGCACCACTTGGAAATTGGCCACGGCACTAGGATTTTCACCCTGTTTTTGCAAAAGGTATCATGGGACCTTTGCTGCTACCCAGGTCAAAATGCATTTTCATATAGCATCTGACTCTCATTTTAGATTAAACGTGAGCCCTTGAAATCAGGTCTGTATTTTTACCCCAAAGGGATTCAGAGAGCCCACATAATTAATTTCCATGGGCAAAACTGAAGGCGTTGCCATGTAACTTCATAATAGGGCCATGTTATTGGCTAATGCATTAGTGCAAAAGCTGGAAGGAAATGTCCCACAGCACACTTTCAATTACTTCAAAACCCCTCCTCCAGAGGAGGGAGAGAGCTCTGCACTCCAAGACAGAATAAAGGGTAAAAAAAAATCTAGCCCAGAAATTTACTACTGTGAACTGGGTTTATGTTTAAATCTCACCTCCTAAAGCTGTCTCCCTCCAAATTTCCAGGATAATCACTTAAAATCATATGGCCAATAAATGTTACATTGCTATAGGCTTTTGAATGCAAATCTTGTATGTAAGTAGCCAGAAGCCACAAAAATTAGTCTAATTAATGCGAAGGCATTTTCTGTGTAAGATGTCAAATTCAAGTTGAAAACCCTACAGCTGATATAAATAACAGAGTGCCATACCATGAACCAGGTCCTACGGAATGAAGGTTGCCTGTAAACACTCCGCCGCAAACCTCAGGCTTTTTGCAGACCTGGTCAAACATCCACAGTGAAATTCCTCATAAAAAGGCATGACTACAGTATTTCACAGTAGACCCTTCTCAACTGCCCTCTTGTGGAGGGGGGTCTTTTCTTTATAAACCCTAAAGTGGTCAGTTTATATTGATTAGAAACAAAACCTCAGATTTACTCCTCATATCAGAACAACCAACCTTCTCATTTTTGCATTAGTTCATGACGGAATCAATTGAAACTGAAGCCTTTGAATGAAAAAGGGCAAGTGTGTTAGCCTGGAGCAAATTGTGTATGGTGGGAAGTTACAAACCACAAAAAATGGGTTATTTATTGTGGAAACAGTGGCAACCCTTTAAAAGTACTAGATTTTGCTTTACCTGCAATGATTACAATTATTTCTTGGGTAGATAGAAAAAAAGTTTGTTCTGATTTTCTGGGGGTTTTTTAAAAATTTTTTTATTTTTTAAATTTTTTTACGTGTTACCATGGTTAAAAAAAAAAAAAGTTGTTATTTTTTAAATTTTTTTACGTGTTACCATGGTTAAAAAAAAAAAAGTTACTTTCTCAGGCCAGCACGTTTGTCCCACTAATTGTATAAATACATGCATGTATTAAAAACCTCTGAAGGTATTGATGATGCCCACACCACAGCCCCATCAAGAAGAGGTTATTTTAAAAGACATTCTCATGTTTCGTATTTATTTACTGCATTAAGGCCAAGTTTTTTTTTTTTTTTTTTGGAAAACTTACTTTGCTTTACAAAGCTATTTGTTATTCTTTTCTGAAAATGAGTGTGCTCATAAGTAATTGTTTGCAAGGAGCAAAAATCTTCCCTAACCCAGGTACCTTATTTACACCTGAACCACGTCTCTCCTATGCTCACAGGCAGCTCCAAGTCCTTTTTGCTCATTCTGCCACAGACTATACTGTCAGAGCTTTAAACTTCGGATGTTCAGTGTGATGGAACCAAACCAAGAACATTCTCACTTTAACACTGATAGGTGGCAACATGGACATTGGGATCAATGCTGTCTTTCACGGTGTTTAGTTCCTTAACACAGACGGTGTTCATTTAATTTCTTCTCCTGGGGTGACCTATATGTATATAGAGGGAGAGAAATACAGTAGCAAAATGCTCATTACTTGCAGACAACACTGAATTCCAGGTGAACTGTACTGAATGCATGGAAATGAGGAGAGTTTGTTCTCCCATGCTTGCTTGCCAAGGTGAAAATTCACCCCTGAAGTTACTCATTTGCAAATGCCTTTGAAGTCATTAGATAATACGATTGGCTTCAAAGGCACCAGGAGGCCAAATTTCACATTGGAGCTGTGTGTACCCAACAGTGGAATTTGGCTCCCAACCTATAACTAAACTGATAATGCATATCGGTTTTAAAAACTGACTTTTCACCTTGAATCTGTCTCCTATAAGACCACTGGGAACAGAATGCTAATGTATTCTGGCCTCCCTCCAATTCTGCCATTATAGATTCACCTTCTTAACCCGTAATATATATAATTCCTTTTTCCTAGTGCCTGCCTTACTGAGGCCGTGCACACGTGTGACCACTCAGCCAGCATATTTGCTGGGAGAGCAGGGAACATGACTTGGTGCTGCAGTCGATTAGTTCAGAAATCTTAAGACCATTCCAAGAGCACAATTTTATGGCTCTCTGATTCATGATATGGATATGTAACATGATTTCTGATGTGTGGGAGCTGCAGGATAAGCCTGTCCTGAATAAAGATCATCACAAATCTTTATTGAATGATACTATTGGAAAGTGCACAATTATGGCACCTTATAACCACCTCCCAAACTTTCTGGTTTGGGATTCTGGTTCTCAGTGAAGTCAGGGGAAGATAGTGAGACAGGAAACTAATTTCAGCAAGCGTTCAGGTGATTCTTATGACTGGGCAAGCTTAGGAACACTGCTTTAAGGCAGAAGTATCATGAACAATGGAAAATGGAGAAGCTAAGATCTGGAAGAAGAGGAGGCAAAGCCAAGGTGACAGCCTGCCCCCTGATTAGCAGTTTTAAAGAATCTCCAAACTGATTCTTTAAATCACAGCATTCAGGGTATTGTTTGTTCAATCTTCCAGCCCTTGGCACTGGGAGGAAATGTTTCTCCCCTTCTCCTTTTCCTGCTGCCTCCTGCAGCTTTCTCAAGCCACATACTGGGCAGAATATTTGTGCTTGGGAAAAATAAACAGCTACAGCAACGAAAGAAAGGATGAACGAACAACTGCTTTAAACCTTCAGTTTTTAAAATAGATGATGGGACTAGCCTTGCAACTCCCCTGAAGGCAAACATCTGAAACCTTGGAAAACTGTCTGAAGCTTAGAGTTCTAGGTCAAGTTTAATACCCAAGTCACCGAGGACATTCGGAGGCCCTTGCTTTTCAGTGTCGCAGTTGTACATATGCCACTCTTAGTGTGGGAATCAGTGAGCTTGGAACAAAGTCTCGATCTCTCCATGCCTTCCGGATGCTTTCTAAAGAATTGTATTAGGATATACTGTATACTTGAAAATTGCTAAGAGAATAGATTTAAGTGTTACCAGCACACACAAAAGAAAATGGTAATTAGTAAGGGTGCTTCAAAGAGTTCATGGAAGAATAGAAATGAAAGATATATAAATCTTTCCATGAGCTTTTTGAAGTGCCATCATATACCAAAACATCTTGTTATACACCATAAATATATATAATGTTTATGTGTTAATTAAAAAAATAAATAAAAACATTTTAGGTTAAAAAATAATGATTTATTTGAATTTGATATTGTGATGAGCAAGATTTAAGTGGAACAATTACTATATCTGAAATCAAAGGCAAGATTTTCTATGGAAAATGTTTGCCTCTAATAGATGTATGTAAACATACATTTCTCTCCTGCCAATTTCTTCCTTTTTCTTATTTTTGCATGTTGCTGTTTTTGTTTTTCAGGTGGTACCACCGTGTTGGCCACAGAAAAGCCGACAGTAATAGACAGCACAATTCAATCAGGTATCAAATAAAATATAAAACGTGCTAGATTCCATATGCCCCTCCCCTCCCCCCACAACAATAGTGCATTGCTGCACTTCTTGGTTTCGGTTTCCCCAAAAGTCCTAGAAGGGGAGATGCCATGCAGCATCTGGTCTCCAAGCATGAGCTGTAAATATTGCCTTCCTTTCCTTTCATCCACATGTATATGCAGCAGGCAGTGAGATTTCCTCCTCCATCAGTAATTGCCAAATGGTGACAATCCGAGCTCTCCACCGAGGGAACTGAGGAACATACTTTGTTTAAATGCAGCACATCTAGGACAGGGACTGTGTTTGCAAACTCTAGGAGAAGGAAATCTCACAGGCAGCAGCCTGACTATTTATTTTCATCACAATTCTGCAAAACCGAGACAGGCAAAGTTTGTCAGTTTTGCCTGCCACGGAGTTGGCAGCTTTACAACAGCGTTTCCAGTGGGCGTGCCACGAAATGGGGTTCGGAAACCACAAGTTTATAATTGTGCACGGGGAAGGGGCGCACCCTCGGGAACAGCACCTCCTCGTCCTTTTATTCATAGAAAGGCTTTTTAGCAGAGGCTAGCCCCAGCTAAACACATGGTGGGCTCCCTCTCTCTTTCATTCTTTGTTAGTATTCTGTGAATTTCTTCCCCACAGACACACACGAAGGGAAACAGTCAGTATAAGCAATCAGAGGTTTTAAATACTTTAAAGTTAATCATTACAGTGAGGTGAACAGGTCAGTTTTCCAGCTTCTCCCATTTCCTTTACTGAAGCTCACTCAGCCTTGGCCAGCACAGTCATTTATTAATGGGGTGTGTGGAGTATATCAAGGTTTCCTCAACGCTATGACACTACCCGGCTAGGCAGAAAGTAGAAAGGACTGCTCTAATTAGTATGCTGCCTTAAAGGACGCTGTCACTGCTGACCTGATTAAACTGCAAAAACAAACTTCTCTTTAGTTGAACTGAACTCTGAGTTTCCCCAGGGTGTGCTCAGGTTGACAAAATTCTTGCTACCGCACAGCCCAGACACCCCCAAATGTCAGAAGATGAACAGAAGAGAAATCGCCGAAATTCTGAAAACTCTACAATCCTGCACACACCTTTTCAAGTTATAAACTGTGGCCTTCAGGGGTTGTGCGCCACCTCGTGCAGCCGAGGCCACCTTGTGAGGGAAGCCTGCTTGTCCCTTGATTCCTACCTGACCTGAGAGTTCTCAGCCCGCAGGATGGTCTTCTGTGGAGAAAGGATGGTCACCACCAGTTGGCTCTTCGTGACCCTCTGGGATAGGAAAGTGGGGGGATGAGGTGAATACATGAAGTTCTAATAATGTAACAAACATTTTAGCTGTTGTCTGAGTGGCTTTTCTTGCCAGAGAGGTAATTAAAGCCACTCCTATGAAGTTGCCAACTAATTCATCTCATTTCATCTCTCTTCCCTTGCCTATTAAAAGAGATCATTTTTTAAAAAAAAAGTGAACAACAGCTGAGAAGAAAATGAAAAGTTATATCAGATTCCAAAACTAGATAATCCTCCCCGAACACCGAAGGTCTCTATGATCAGAGCAGGAATGGTTCTTGTGAACACATTTGATTTGTGCGTCACTTCAAGATCATTTGTGGGATGGCTTTATGGAGGAGCTCCAAGGCCAATCAGTCCTCTCCCAGGTCTGCTGTGATCAGCGGGCAGGTATACAGATCACGAACCAGTAAGACCCATGGTGGACACCATCTGAACAAGTTCAGTGCAAACCGCATAGCTTACTGATAGGGTTGGTCTGGTCCAGTCTGGATTTCACAGTCAGCCCAGAGTCCTTTACAAATCAACTTGGTTTCCTGTTTTTCCATTGTCTGAATCATGAATCTGGGCTCCAAGTCCTCATTTGTGGGTAGTGGACTGTCTGACCTTTGGAGGAGTTCGGTTCATTATTACCTTCTGGCTAAGCCAATGCACAGAGCACTTCACAAGGACCTGGGCATGCTTGAGTCAGCGGTCAGGTCTACCGTTGGCTAACGCCGAGGTGCTCACGCAGTGGTCGGATTCACCTAATTGATACTTTGATCCACACTGTTCTACAGGCTTCAGATTCTTCAGGCATCTTCACAAGCAGCAGCAAATCGTACCCCAAACCTTCTTCATCCTAATTTAATTTTGCTGAAGCCATTATAGACTCAAGCAAAGTCTTAAGATTTCATTTTGAGTATTCTTATCAATATAATAAACTCAGTGGGCATATAATATTCATATACTGTCTGGGTTGTAATCAGATGCATAAAAGCCTATTAATGCTCTGCCAGGAACAGATGAGAACCCTGCATTTTAAATCCAGCTCTCTCTGGTGAGGGCTCTTACCCTCTGAGGATCTTTAAACATTCCTATAGCAGCCCAGAGTGTGTTCATAACCTATGATTATGGGGCCTTTGTATCTCCACTTGTTTGCACTGAAAGACCAGTCTATGAGTAAGTTAGTTAACATACTCAATAGAAGTTTTGCATACCAGCTTTACAAATTAAATCCTTGTGCATATATGGTGCTAATGATTCAGGATGAGCTCAACAAGCACAGCTGGTGCTTGCTCAGAGAGGCTATAAATTTAAGTTCAGAATATTGTTTCCTGCTATTTTTAAGAGTCAAGAAAGGATTTAGCCAGATTATTCCCATTGAATTTAATGAGAATTGTGTGCAGCTACAGGGCCTGGGTAATATTTTGAAAACTTAAAGGTCAGTAGTCCTGTGTATTTATTTCATTCATCCATTTGCTTTTTTCTCTTCCTTTTTCTCCCCTGTTGTCCTCTCCTTCTGTCTTTCTCACTTACTTTTATTTTATGACTGGATCCGAACCTATGACCTTGGTGTTATAATATGGCTGTGCTTTAACCAACTGCACTAACCAGCCAGCCCCTTGTTTTCTTTCTTTTTCCTTTCTGTAAGTGTTTACGGGTAGTTTGTGTGCTTATTTGTCTTTCTAGCCAGGCTTAAATTTTCAAGATTGAGCTTCTCACCCCACAACCCTCCCCCACAAGATGCAGTGATTTAAAAACATTTCTTTTCAATAAATGAGATTGCCATAAGTTATATGATCAAGACAAGAAGATAAAAGAGCAGTAAAATACAAAAAGTTAGAGCGGTTCACCTTGTTAAATTCACAGGATTGGAAAGGACATTGGAAGATAAAGGCAGACAGCCATTCACTGAGGCGAGGATAAATGTCTAAAACATCCTTTTAGGCAAAGCTGTTCCGTGTCCTGGTCATTACAAAAATATCCAAGTTCATATGCTTTATGAAATCATCAGAATATTAATAGCCAAAATTATGGAGGATGTGGTTTTCTATACTATGCAATAAATTTAATGTATTAACAAGGCAAATATAACCAGAAATGTGTGTGCTATAATGGCTTTCTGGCCTCCTGTATGTGCGTGTCTTCTAAAGCACATTTAAGAAGAAAAATCAAAACCACACACACACACATTAACATTTTCCCATATTGACATTTTCTAACATGAGATTATGCAACAGTACATTCCAGATCCTGGGTATTGACGTCCAAGGTTGCTCAACCATTCAGTTGACTGTACTTCATCTGCATAATTCAATCTTGCTGCACAAAAGTGTGGTAAATTTTGGAGAGGGTTTCTCAAGCCTTAAGAAGTCCTATTTCATGGTTATGGTAGACTAGACATGAAATATCTCTCTCTGATGGCACTACAGCTGTGAAATGCAGCCCTTCTGCACCAAGTTTAAGGGCTCACATTATACACATCACATGGTGTACTAGTTTACTTTCCCAAACTGGCTCTGTCTGCCCTTTGGGAGGTCACATTGTCATTGGGAGAATCCATCCTGCTCAGTTTTGATAATTCATGTGGTGGGTTCCTTCCAAAATTTGATATTAGCACTTGAAAAGAGTTCCTTGGAAATGAAAAATGCAAAGTAAATCTTCCTTATCTAGTCAATAAATCTTTGCATTAAAATTCCTCCCACCATTGTTAAAGTGGGGGAGGGGCAGTCAACACCAGGCTCAGAGGAGAAAGCAAGAGACTTTGTGTTGAAGACTTGGGCGAGTTACAGAAGAGTTACCAACAATCTTATGGTCCCAGCCTGACCCTAATACAGCACATAACACCAGACTTCCCTTATTGCATGCAGGGATTCTTTTGAGGCTTATTTTTAAGTTCAATTGGCCAGACGCCCCGGGCGCCTTTCTGTCTGTTTCAATGCTGCCATCTTGTGGAATGACACGCAAGCAAAGGACATCCTTTATTACAGAAAACAGCCACTTTTGTGTGCTTCTCTTTATAAGAGAAGAGGAGTGGGATAGGCAGAACATGAGAATTTCATCTTTGGAATTATTTTTATTGCTAGTTTACCAAAACAAATTCCAAGGAGCAATGATTTCATTTTTCCCATACATAAAACGTCAAGCTCCTTTCAAAGAAGGGTATGGGTTTTTAAAACACCATAGTCAGGTAGCACTTTGTCAGAGCTGCTACGATTATTCCAGCAAATCCATTCATGCTTTCTTCTCAGATTCCAAAGGAAGGATTTTGAACATTAAAAAATTAAAATGGGTAGCTATTTAAATGTGCTTTGGCTTCATATGACCTTGCATTGAGGTTTTAAGTGGGGAGAACAATTTATATGCAAATAAAGATGTTCACTATAAAAAGCAGAAACTTATACTTAAATTAATGGACCTGATAGAAAGCACAGAAGGAAAAAATAATCTTAAGAAAATGCTTCAGAGATTTCTGCACTGACACCAAAGACCTGAAGCATGAGCTGGTGTGGCGAGAGTGGAGGCGTTCCACTAAGTCACTTCTTTAGACTTTTGAGGTTCAAGGATCAGTCTCTAATTAAGATTCTTTTCATTGGTAGATATCAATTTATATGATTCATCCTCAAGAACAGAGTATTTTTCTTATTAAATAGCGTGGAAACAGGGAGAGTTCTGCAGATGTAATATACGTGCTTTGGAAAGTAGCCTTCCCGGAAATTTTATACCTTACATGGTACTCCTCCTCTTCACGTGTGCTATACTTCAGCCAAAATTAACTTTTCCCTTGTCTCCAGGGCCTACACTCCTTGACATTTGGCTTTTATTGTCTGCTCTACTGGAAAATCTCTCCACCCAGTTCCACAAACTCAAATCTAATTTATCTTTTGTAGATAATTCAAATGCCACCTCCTAATCCTTTCCCTCTTCTAGAGGTGATCTAAAAAAAAAAAAAATGTACTAAATGTGATTTTGCAAACATTTTGACATCTCCATGCATCTTTTAGTTTCCTGGTAATCCTGGATTTTGTGACTTTCCCAGAATTTTCAAACAGACATAAAGTTGTATAAATCGTGTTTTCCATGAACAAATTAAGGGCCTTTGTGACCCTGAATGATTAAATTTGTCTTTCTCTGCTTGTTTCTATGTTCCCTTTCCACCCACTGAAGAGTTTCCAACATATGGTTTTAACTGTGAATTTGGATGGGGCTCTCACAAGACGTTCTGTCACTGGGAACATGACAATCACGTGCAACTCAAGTGGAGTGTGTTGACCAGCAAAACGGGACCCATTCAGGATCACACAGGTAATGGGAAGTTCACTGTGGCCTCCTGGCTTTGCAAATTCTCTGTGAATTGGAGAAGGTGTTACGGGGGAGTGGTTTCTGGTGCCTGTGAATTTAGGGGGGTTAGAAAATACTACAAGTATTCACTCACTTACGCTTTCATTTTCTGGAATTAACAAGGTCACTTTCCTTAGTAGGGATAAGCTTAGGGCAAGTAAAGAGGAATGTTGACTAAATTTGGCCACTGATTGGCCTCTCTGAAAAACAGCAAACTGGGCAAGGATGGGTGAGTTAGTACTCATTTTATACTTTTTCTGAACTTTTTATGGGCAATTTCAAGCTTGTTCAAAAGTAGGGGGGAAAAAGTAGGATAGTGAACCCCATATGGACATAACCTTGCTTCAACAATTATCAAGTCGTAAGAATCTTATTTTATCTCTATCATCCCTGACTCTGGGTTATTTTCAAGCAAGTTCAGACATATAAATTATGTCACCTTTATTTTGCAACTAAAGAAACAGTAAGTAATCTAATGCTTGCTCTCTCTCAACCCTTGAGGTAGAGGTGGAACAAGGTGAGGTGGGATTCTTATCCTTTGGAAAAAAAATTTGTATCTGGCCCATTTACTCCGAGCAGGTATAAACTTCACCATCCAGCTCACGTCCATCCCACCTCCTGCCTTATTTTCTTTGTAGGATTAATTGGTGGGGGAGAAGTGGGTTGGGAGACAGAGTGAGATGGCAACTGCTCCAGTGAACTTTTTTTATTGACCCCGTCCTGTTTTCCTCCTTGTCATTTCATCACCCAAATTGAGATATGCTATAAAGAACCAGCAGTGTCCTGCCAAAAACAGAGACACACACACACTCACGACAAACGTCCAGCCTGCAAACTTCTACTTTACTTAGTAATACAGAGGACTGCTTACTCCAATAGTGGTTTCCCAAAAGGTAACCCAGAGGAGCATTTGCTGATGCTGAGAAATCTCATTAAGTTCTCCTCGTGCTGGTGCTTTGGATGAGGGTGTCAGGAGCTGATGGCTGGGCAGAGGATCTTCATGCCTTTCCCACTTCGTTGTTCATTTTTTCCCCATGAATATAACCAATAAATAGGTTGAATAGGCCTCCTTCCACCACGGCTACCTCCTTGCCTAATGAGAATGACAAGGAAATTGGATAAAATTGGACTCTTTCAATTCTGAGACACTTTGAATTGAATCTTCAGACAAGCAGTTTTAGAAAACTTAAAATACTTTGACTGTAAATGGCACTGTACATATAAATGGCATCAAATTAACTAAATGCAATTAGCTGAAATGAAGGCAGTAATGGTGGAAAAATTGATGCAAAGTGAAGCAAAATGGCTCAGTAGGGTCTGACATTCAAAGGAGGTTAAAAGCTGTGTTAGCCAGAGACAAAAGCTAAAAGGCTTGCAGAAGAAAAGTGCTAATTGAGAAAATGAAGACAGAGTTCCTGACCCAGAACTGTGATAAAACCCCTGAAAGGAAAAATATCAGTGCTTTATGCATTGGAGTCTCAGAGAAGGAGGTTTTGTTTTAGATTAGCAGCTGAGAAGTGCGATCCTCCAGAAGGATTGGACTCTTTTGTTCTCCCAGCCACCCAGATTTACTTGGCTGTCATGCCAGCTCTGCCCTGACTTGAAAGAGCCTCTGCAGCACTAGAAACAGTCATTTGTCGAGAGGTGGGTGAGCCCAATGCCTGAAAGGCAGGAACTTGTTAACGAGAAAAAAAAAATCTAGCTGAAAAGAACCCTGCACTTGTAAGACTGGCCCGTAAGCATGAATCTTACTTGTTGGGAAGGCTCATCTTGCAAAGACCGGGAGACAGAGCTCGATGCAATGAGCAAGAGGTTTTTATTTCAGCATGCTGAGGTCACTCCATTTTTCAGGACAGGAGCGGCCCCGAGCTCTTAACTCAAGCATCTTTTATACAGTTTGGTAGGCAGGCTTTGGTAACAGGCTGGGTTGTACGCTGTTTATTGGCCACTTTAAGCAATTTTTAAAACCATTGGGCTTTTAGCTTTTGGTGGGCAAAGGAAGGACTGAGGTATTGACCAACGGTCCACCCCCCTCTTTCCTCCCTTGGTGTCCAAAGATAAGGTACTGATCATGCTGTTCCTGGAGTCAGGTGAGCATACTCCCTTCCTGGAACAGGGTGAACTTTGGGCTCTTTGGAAAGTCCCTTCCCCCTGGCAGCAGAAAGTCCTAATCTTCTGGTGACCAAAGGTCTTAATCACCTGGTAACAGAAGGTCCTAAGTATCTGGTATTGTTTACCAAAAAGGTTGGGGGTTATGTCTACCTCCACACACTCAACTCACATACCACAGATATTAGATAGTAGAAGGCACTTTTGCAAGTCAGTCACTGAGGTTTTTTTGTTTTGGGGTTTTTTTTAATTAACACTATCTGGTAAAATAAATATAAATATCTGCTGCCCAATTCTGAATTTACTTATAGGAATCCCACTCGATTTTCTGTATTTACCCTCTAAGAATGACACCAGGGGTCTCCTTACAGAAGACTCCTGAAATCTCACGTCTTTTTCCCATTCACTGAACGAATGCTATTTGAGTAGCCCTTTTTCATGGCTGGTGTTGTATTGGGTACTGGAAATACCAAGTAGAGAGGAGGTGTCCCTATCCTGGAGGAATTCAGTCTGGTTGTGGGTGGCAAACGATTGCAGTGTGGTTGGAGGAGGGTGTCTGATGGCGGAGGTCAGCAGGAACGGAAAAGATAACATAGGAAGGGTCAGAGAAAGCAGTCCTGTCTTAGAGACCGACTAAGCTAGGGCTTGTTTTAGTGGATTGCAAGTGGTGTGGTTTGGACAGATCCTTCATGTGAAGCAGTGAGTCATGTGGCAGAGAATGCTTGGCCTTGGGTGCTTCGTGAAGTGTGGATGGGCTGAAGGCAGGTAGGAGCCACTGAGGCATTTTAAACAGAGGCCATGAGACACTTCTCGGGCAGCCTTCCTCCCTCTGCCTAGGTCCAATTTTCTCCTTCTTCCTACCACCTATTCTCCAACTAGCCTACATTGTCCTTGTGGGCACAATAAATCTGTTTCCTCTCTGCAGCATTGCCAATTTCAGTCTTTTTTCCACAAGTTTGGGGGGCAGAGGCAAGATGAGTGTGTTTTTTTCCTGTTCATCTTGGTGGACTGATATGCCACTCATCTTAGTGAAATGGGCACTGTCACACAGACAGATGGCCACAGCTTAGTAAATTGGTGGGTCAAGACAAACCCTAGGAGTGACTCAGTTGGCTCAGTCACGGGACACTCCACAAGGACAGAGAGTGAAAGAGCTGTCCTACAGCATCAAACATATTGCTGGACCTGTGTCTTCTTTCCACCCTTTTTAAAAAATGAACCTACCCACTGGTTTTAATAAGAGTGTTATGGCGAGATCTCATGTTAGCAGCCAGGTGAGAAAAGAAAGCTGCTCACTAACATGTCTACTTCCACCTGGGCATGGTTGATGCAGGCAAGCAGACACGAGAACAAGCCCGCATACACAAGTGAAAAAGTACCTTACAAATACACAAGGCTCTTGGGCAGCAAACAAAACATCCCACTGCCCACTGAGGCCTGAGCGTCAGATTCACCCTTACATCAGGTGAGGCATTAGAGTAGGTGATTTCTATTTGCGGAGCAAACAGTGAAACATGAGTTGTGTGTTTAGACCAGGTGGTGGCAGGAAGAAATGTTCCCACTGGGGGTAATTAAAAGCAAAGCTGAGAATAAGTCCTTGCAGCTTGGCAAGTGTCTATGTTGCCAAAATGGCACGTTCTAATGAGCCTCAAAAATGCAACCTTGCCTCTCCTTGAACCACAGGCCCACATCAAACAGAAGTGGGCCTCACAGTTGAGAATCAAGCTCTCAGGTGTGTTTAAGGAACTTATAAGCTATTAAAATAAACCAAGGGAAAAATCATCTGAATTTGAAAAATGAAAAAAAAGATCACTAGATTATTTGGAAAAACTGCAGCTTTGTTATTATCAAGCAATCTTAGTGACCAAAATGTCATCAACCGAAAGTCATGCTGCTCAAATGATAAATAAGAATACATCTAAATTATGCCGTTTAATGTCAGTGTTCACAGGGATGCTGCTGAGACGATCTTAAAGCTGCACAAAAAATAGATTTTCTTCCTAGACAGTCAGACATTTTCTGTCCAGTCTGTGTACAGAATGTGCTTTCAATTTGCTTGCGATGGTGCAGAGACCAACTGAGTCATAGCCTGTGTCCATATGACAAAGCATTTCAGGTAAGTAGTATCCGAATTAGTGCTGCTTTCCAGCCTCCCCCTAATCAAATATCCAGCCACAGAAGATTAAAACAGAGCCTTAGGTACCCACAGGTCCCCAACCACTGTGCACGCTGCTCTCTCTACACTGCATATTCAGGTTTTTGGTGCTCAACCCAAGGGAGAAATTTTGATTAGCGGAACTGGAAAGAAGAGAGACAAAGTCTATTCTCACTAACACAGTTTTTGTCCCAGCAGGAGATGGCAACTTCATCTATTCCCAAGCCGACGAAACCCAGAAGGGTGAAGTGGCTCGCCTGGTGAGCCCAGTGGTCTACTCGCAGAACTCAGCTCACTGCATGACCTTCTGGTACCACATGTCTGGCTCCCACGTCGGCACGCTGAGGGTCAAACTGCGCTACCAGAAGCCAGAGGAATATGATCAGCTGGTCTGGATGGCCATCGGTCACCAAGGAGACCACTGGAAGGAAGGGCGTGTCTTGCTCCACAAGTCTCTGAAACTCTATCAGGTGTGACCCTTCCCTAGGCTGGGGAGGGCAGTGGCTTCGGGAGCATTGGGATCATATTTGGAAGGTCATGTAAATGAGACTTGGGAATTATTCCCAAAATTGTTTCAAATCTTTCCCAAAGTTGAGATATTGCAATTGATCATCTCCGGAGCATATTTCACAGTCTCATAGATTACAGAAATGGAACGAATTTGCTGAGAAAGAAGGGAAAATGCTTCTTTGTAATCTATTTCTTGATATTGCAATTGATCATCTCCGGAGCATATTTCACAGTCTCATAGATTACAGAAATGGAACCAATTTGCTGAGAAAGAAGGGAAAATGCTTCTTTGTAATCTATTTCTGGGCTGTCACAATGTATCATTCCTTTTATTTGCTGCTTTTTCCCATTTTAAAGTTGGTATTATACAAAGAGAGTACAGAGAGAAGCTGCACGCACTCCCCTGGCTGCTAACATGGATTGATGAGTGAAGTGTGTGCTTATGAGGAATCTCATGAATGTAATTTACATGCCATAGCTTGAGCTGAACAAGCATTTGTAAACAATGACATTTGAGATGAGCATTTAAATACTGTGAAAATGATCTCACTTTGTTAGGTGATTTTCGAGGGCGAAATTGGAAAAGGAAACCTTGGCGGGATCGCCGTGGATGACATTAGTATTAATAACCACATTTCACAAGAGGATTGTGCAAGTAAGTATGAGTAGCTATGGAAACCAGTGGAGCACTTGCCCAGGGCAAGGTTCTTTCCATGGGATGGTCTTTGTCTTGCTCATTACGATCTGGAATTTCAGTATGGGCTCTAGGTGCACCATATGAAATGCATATTCTGGTGCAATAAGACATGAAATCAGGTCACTTTACCTTTAGCTACCCCATCACATAACCCAGTTCATGTAAAATGTCTGGTTGGTTACTACAAAACTACATAAATAAAGTGGAATCCAAAGATCATAGCAAAGAAGAAAGACTCTCTGCTTATAAGCTATATATGCCACACCAAAACGTTTCCATGTAAAGTACAAAAGGTCAGACATCTGGATAATTTCAAATATCTGGGTGTATAAACCAAACAGCAGGCTCTTGAAAATTTTCATCACACTGAATTTAGTTAAGATAACGTTGTTAATGAATCATAATCCTTTGCTTTATTGCAAAGAATTACATGTTTCTGACCCTGAAAATAGCTGAAATGACTCAACAGAATAAGTGAAATTCAGAGATGGTCTAGTATCTCAGAATTGGTTTTTATCATTCTGGTACTAGATGGATTGAAGACATAGAAAACCAATTCATATTCCCTAGTTCTTGATATATAATTACAAATAGCATCACTAATGGCAATGTAATAGCAGAGTAATTAGTCTTAAGCCCCATTTGCTACACTTAAACTTTTGTTATATATCATTATATAATAGGATGTTAATTATAACAAAATGGAATAAGCCTATTGGACAAATTTAAGACAAAGGAGGCCTGTTGGCTATAATGGATTTTTGGTCATTTCAGCAACATACAAAGCTTTTATTATACAATATATTGAATATATGTAATTCCTAAAGTGGCAATAATTTGATAGGGTCAATTGAAGAAATTGGGCAAGAAAAAAAAATAGGAGCAGTGAATAAAGGTCTTCTTCATATGTAAGGAAATCTGTTTAATGCCACACTAATTAGCTAATCTTCACAAAAATGATAAGACTTAATATTTCAGTTGCAACCACTTTGCAAATTACCCATATCCAAGTCTCACTGCTGTTAAAACATATTTGTAATTACATAGTGTATGTAATATCATTGCCTTCTCATTCTAAGATGAGAGGGATCATGGTAATTTGTGGGATGTGAAAGCAAACTTCACAAACTAAAACAAAGAAATAAAAATCACTTCAGTTCAACAAGTTCTAACTGACCACATATTATATGCAACGCGGCATACCAGATGCAACAGTGAATATACTCATCGATGGTTACAATAGTTCTATGAACCTTTTTCTTTTCATGCAATTCGTCTACTTAGCTGTAGTTGCTGCTGGGCATTGTGCTCAGAAAGTCACAACTAGAGCTCCATTAAAACACTTTATGTATGCTGCTGACCCAGTAAAAAGATGTCTAAGGTAGTTGTATACTCATCAAATATGTATTCTCAAATATTTAGCCGTGGGTGCTATGAGATTATCAACTATTTATTATTCATTAATTCATACAACAAATATTTATTGAAGCACCTATTATGTGCTAGGCACTGTACAAAATGCTGAGAGACAGCAGGGAACAAAGTGTTCAAAATCCCCCCTGCCCTGCACTCAGTAGCAAAAGGAATGCGGGGATTCCATTTCTTCCATAAACTTTTATTTTATTTATTTATTATTTAATTTTATTTTTTATTTGGGGGAATACACAGGACACAGTCTCTTGCTGCTGGATAAAAAGAACCCAGAAATTAAAACTGATGAAACAGGTAAATTTGTCTTGCTCACCAATTTTTTTTTTTACTATGGCTTTCATTATCTTTATGAAGAAAACTCTGGAACTCTAATACACTGGTATATCATCATAGTTTAAATAAAATAAACATCTATGCCCATGGCCTTGAGTTGGTGCTGTGAATTGGATTGTTGTCACAGAGCACCCTCTCCTAAGCTGCCCTTAAGACTTTGGGAGCCTCCTGACAGGTGCAGCTCATGTGGTTGAGCTCTGGGGAAGTGTGCTAGTCCTGGCCCTTCCCAGCCTGAGCTGGGAAGTGACTCACTCTCATTTTATAACTATGAAAACAGAAAAGTAGTGATGACTACTTCCAAACAGTAATTTGAAACCAATCCAAATTCTTGTGTCTGGTTGATATCCAGATAGGATCTTTATGAGACTAGAGCCCAATTTCTGTGATAATCTATTGCTTTTGATTCATTTTTTCTCATCCTCCTCTAATAGAATCTTGGTCTTGTGATGATGGTGGTGGTGGTGATAGGATTTATTGAGGAGCTACTATGTTCCAAAACAGCAGTGTTTTCACTGAATACTGCTTTGTGATGAAATGCAAAACATTTGATCAGAGTTAGGCCTTGCCTGCTCTTTATTTCCAGAAGTTTCTGCACCTCCCGGCCAGCACTGTGGGGTGTTGGACACCTGAATACTGCTTTGTGATGAAATGCAAAACATTTGATCAGAGTTAGGCCTTGCCTGCTCTTATTTATTTCCAGAAGTTTCTGCACCTCCCGGCCAGCACTGTGGGGTGTTGGACATTTGCCCCAGCATTATTTATGGCTGCTGTGGGCACTGCTGCCCCCAAATCATCAGCATGTGTCAGCATCTGTTGCCATGAGATATGTGGTCCTACTTACTACATAGCCAGACGTGGACTTGTTCAAATAAATCTGGCACTATGCTTTAGTGATATTAACACATCACAAAGTCCACACAGAGATATAAACTTTATTAGAGGTTGTTTCAAAACAATATTTCATCAAGAGAGAGAATATTAATATGTCCCAAGGCTTCTTTTCCCCTGTTTAGGGACTTGCATCTCATATTTTTAGTTTTCTTTGATTGGAATCTTTGTTGATCAGGACACTATTAAGTAAACACCACACACGCTGTGCATTAACATTTTAGTCCCATTTCTAGTACCAGGTAATTGGGCTCAAAGCTCCCATGTTAATAACTTCTTATGTTCCACTCTAAAGAAAACATGTCCCCAGTGACTGAGCTGCAGAGCAGTGTAACTGTCTCCAGTGAAACTACCAGGGCTGCAAAGACGCTGATTATTAAATGTCTTCTACTCAGCATGACACAGACATGGTTTCTTGATTTGAACCACAATGCTTTTTACACGTCAGCAGCAAGCATTCCCTTGTTCTGAGAGATCGCTCCTTCCTCAGTGAAATCACTGTAGACTTGGGGGGAAACTTGTTTGACTTGATGATTTTCCACATGGGAGTGCAAAAAAACATGCCTAAACCATGCAGGACACTGGAAATAGCACCAGAGAAAGAAAGGACAGCTCTGAAGGTTTCCTCCTGCCTGGTTTTGGGATTAGGCTCATGCATGGGGATTGGTTAAATCCCCCTACGAGATGAATGTGTGACTAAGCATTTTGCAAAGCTTAATGATTGCATATCTGGTCAAGCACTATAAACACAGATTACAACCAAGCACAGATGGAGGCTACATGAAAGCTGAATTAGATTAGAACATAACCTTCCCCGTTTACCCAGAATCAGTTGTTTCCATGTGCTAAGCTACCTGTCAGAGTTGCAGCACTAACTCCCTGACACTCCAGCCTCCTACACTTCTATTCCCAACATGACAGGCAAAACTGAAGCATGTGAATTACTCCTGTTTCTTTTCCTTTTCTCTATTTTTCTGTCTGATTTCTCCTGGCTTGTTGGCAGTGCTTATGGAGCCAATTTTGTCTTTGTCCTTAGGGAGCACCCCAGGATATGAAGGCCAGGGAGAAAGTGACAAGAACATCTCCAGGAAGCCCGGCAATGTGCTGAAGACCTTGGACCCTATTCTCATTACCATCATAGCCATGAGCGCCCTGGGTGTCCTCTTGGGTGCCGTCTGCGGGGTGGTGCTGTACTGTGCCTGTTGGCACAACGGGATGTCAGAAAGAAACTTGTCTGCTCTGGAGAACTATAACTTTGAACTCGTGGACGGTGTGAAGTTAAAAAAAGACAAACTGAATACACAGAGTACTTATTCGGAGGCGTGAAGGCGGACAGAGATGAAAAGACGAGTCGGAGAGTTGAAGTGCAAGGACATAAGTCGAGTGTGCTGGGGAACTATTGATCTTTCACTGTACAGGCTGCAAAGTGCGTGGATGACGCTGAGCCAGGCTTTTCTCAGGAGCTCCAAAGAGTATGGCCGACAGACGTGAGCAAGTGAGCTGTGCTAACAATCGCAATCATGTACAGTCAGCCTCTTTCTGTGGGTTTAATTTGAGTAATCAGATGCTGGTGTTGAGACCAAGTATGATTGACTTAATAATTCATTTCGACTCCTCTCCCCTTCTCTCTCTCCTCTTCCTTTTATGGATTCTTTTTGGAAACTGTGCAAAATCCAAGATGCTGGCACCAGGTATATTCAGTGGGGCCCTTTTGATGGACATGCTACCTGTAGCCCAGTGCCCACATTATATTAGAATAATCGCATTTCGGTGGACTCCTGAAGGTGTTCTTGTGTGTAACTGCCCGCGTCGTACATAGGCAAGGAAGGATTAGGATGTTTTGTTTTAAAAGTACTGTAGCCTCAGTACCAGTATAGTGAGTCAGCTCTGTTTACGAAGCAATACCGTCAAATTTTCTTGATGTTTTCCAGTGTTGTACTCAACTTCGTGCTTGTGAACTTCATACAGAAAACTGTGCCATCACCAAACACTGCTGGCGACTGGGTGTTCTGCTGACAACCACAACAAAAATCCTTGGCACTGGCTAGTCTATGTCCTCTCAAGTGCCTTTTTGTTTGTACTGGTTCATTGTGTTCCATTAAGACCCACTCTGTTTCTCTCTGGTGAAAGCCCTACTCTTTAATCAAACCCTGGTGGCTCACTGACTAAGAAGAAAGTATATTTTAGTGTGAGACGTCAGCCCCGGGAAGGCAAGGGCTCTGAAGATATGGCAACGTGGCTTAATTGTTCTGCTTTTTCTGTAGTTCAATTTCATGTCTCTTGATCCTTTTGTATAAAGCTGCAATATTCTCTCTTGTTCTTTCATATGGAATGTATTTTCAAATGTAAACTCTTTCTCTCCTAGCTCCCTTGTCTTTTTTTCACTCTTAGAATTTAAGCATTTGCCATTGTCCAGAAAAGAAACTTGCAGCTTTAACCTGCTGGTCATGGCAAACAATTTTACTAGACTTTATGTTTAAAAATAAATAAATAAGGGAAATTCCTAACTTTGCCCTCCAAAGTCTAACTTTGGTTTTCTTGTTAACTGGTTAAAGTGACAGTATCTTTTTTCCTTAAACCGTTTGTCTGTGCATTCTGATCAAAATGATCTTTGATAGAAATGTTGGTGTTTAATAGAAATAGTGGTAAGTTGAGGGAAGAAATAAGACTGATTGGCTTTTGAGTGAGATCCAAAGAAGGACTGAATAAAAATGTTCCAAATATCTAAAACCATGAGATTTTTACATCCACATTTGCAAAAATGACCCATGAGAAACCTTCTTGTTTTGATATTGAGTCAGACAAAGGAAGTGGAAGGAAGAACAGTTAATTTAAGAAAGAGACCATAAATCCTGATGCCCGGGGTGAAGTATTTTAAGATAAGGACTAAGGACAGGGACAGGGGGTGGCAGGGGACCCATAAAATCAAAACAAATGTTTAAAGAGAATTCTTCCAGCAGCAACCCTGAAAAACTAGACTTGAATGAATGCTTCTAGAAACTTCCAATGGCTCACAAAGGAAATAGCCCGCCTTGGGGTTGGCAAGACCTAAAGCACAGAGAAATAAATATCTTATCAGGCAGCATGTGAATGAACCCAAAGAAACTTTGGTTGTTTTCGATGATTTTTGTCATGCCGTGGTGTACATGAGCATTTTGAGATCTTCCTCCTTTCCTGCATTGCTCTAGGTCTCACTTGGATACATCTATTGGGAGTCACATTTGCATCATGGACAGGACAGTCCATTCATCTTGGTTTAATTGGATTGAGAATCTCTCTTGTTTCCAGGAAAGTATTGATCACCATGAAAGAAGAATAGTTTTTTGTCCCCAGAGGCATTCAGATAGAATTAGAATCAGAATAACTTATATGCATTAACATGTGCATATATAATTATACATAATATATGGTTTTAATATACATTAAATTACAGTTATATTTATGTGACTATATACAGTACTGGGGTAGGATAGCTTAAATTGTAATTAACAAGTTTCTCAAGGCCCATTGTGGATAGCCTGGAGAGTTAAAAACTGGGAGCAGGAGGCTCCCAGTCTTTGGTGGGGGTGGGGCTCACTTTTATGAACTTTACCTCCAGGAGTCCCAGAGGGTTCCTTCCCACAGTGAAAATCAAAGAAAAATTCCCTTATGCTTTCAAAAGGGGACCATTTTGAAGTATGCCTAAGTATTCTGTTTTTCTTAACAAAGTCTGCCTTCTAAATGTATATAGAAAGTCAAAAGACCCAGAATAGCCAACACAATACTGAAAGAGAACAGTAGAGTTGAAGGAGTGACCCATCTTCAATACTTACTCTAAGCTACAGTAATGAAGACAGTGCGTTATTGATGATAGAATAGGCAAATGGATCAATGGAGGAGAATAGAGAGCCCAGACCCATACAAATACAATCAACCAGTCTTTGACAGAGGAGAAAAAGCAATTCAATGGACGTCTGATCACATTATCACATACACGCTGCTTCTTCATCAGCAATAAAGGTCCTGTGAACTGATCCTGTCACTTTAGGGAAGGAGTATAGGAAACTTCTATGTGATGACATAGTACTTCTTTCTACTGGGAACATTAGCTGTTTCCACTTTATAAATGAGAAATCCAAAGTGCGGAGAGGATGAGTGATGAGCCCACGATGTATCTGGTCTCACCTCCCCTCCATTTCTCCTACCACTCCACAGCCCTGCATTATCCTGGGTGGTGTCCACATAGGGCCTTGCTACTCAAAGTGTGTCCAAGAAGTAGCAGCACCTTGAAGCCTGTTAGAAATGCAGAATCTCAGGCCATACCCCAGTCCTGCTAAGTCATTTTAGCAAGCTCCCCAGATGATCTATATCCACATTCAGGTGTAAGAAGCCCCAAGTCAGCCGCTACACTGAGCCAACTGCAAGAGAGTTTGCATTGCTTCCAATGGGGATTTCTGAACACTCAAAGACAAAGGAAAGACATCCCTGCAGGGTTCCCAAAACACTTTTCAGAAGAGTCTGAGCACAATGCAGCCTGGAAAACAGAAAGTAAAATTAGTAAACTTAAAATCTCACTAAACCCAGAAACACTTTGTGGCCATTCTGCCTGATAGCTTGGGAGGGGAATAAGCGTAGGCTTTACTGAGAGGGAAGAGATACTGCTGATGCAGTAATTTGCTGGATTAAAATTTTTTAAGTGCTACAGAAGTATAGCAATGCTGTGTTCCTCATCACAGTGCGTTCAGTGAGAAAGGGGAGTACCGATTTGTGAAGAGCCAAATCCTCCTACTCAAAAGAAATTGCCTTATACTCCACACACGGTTTCCGCTGATGCAGTAATTTGCTGGATTAAAATTTTTTAAGTGCTACAGAAGTATAGCAATGCTGTATTCCTCATCACAGTGCGTTCAGGGAGAAAGGGGAGTACCGATTTGTGAAGAGCCAAATCCTCCTACTCAAAAGAAATTGCCTTATACTCCACACACGGTTTCTAATTTTGCAAAGATGTTAAAACCAGACTGTGCCCTCTTTAATTTTTCTTTGATGATGATTTCTTGTTTCTTAGATCCTTATTACAAATAAGTGAGAAAGTATCAGATAATGGATATTTGTTGTCAAATAGTGACTCTTGAGAAAGGGTTTTTCTACATGGATTGATTTCTTGTTTCTTAGATCCTTATTACAAATAAGTGAGAAAGTATCAGATAATGGATATTGGTTGTCAAATAGTGACTCTTGAGAAAGGGTTTTTCTACATGGAGTGTCTCCTCTCTACATCTAGGAGTGGTACCTTCTGATGTGTATAATGTTCAACAAATGTATAATGTTCAGACCCAATAACCTAATTTAATCACCACCCTGTTGATGGAGTTGGGAAGTTGCTTGCTCTGGCAGAATGTTGGGTTGGAAATGGACATGCTGTCCCGTGATGGTCTTACCTTTATGTAGCTTGAACAAGACTGACTCATCAGGATGGAGAGCAGGTCCCTGCCCCTCGTGATGCTCCTTTTAGTGATATGGACATCCCCCCACCCCATCATTTTTGACATAAGACACTTCCACACCCTATCTCCCTGGCCCCATTGACATCTTTCAGAGATTTGATGCTAGCAGTGCTAATGATCTTGGTGCAATCTTGTCAGGAAACCATTCCATCGCCTATCGAGGCTATCATTTCTCTCCTTCTGTTTAATTTCTGAAAGTTTTCTATGTTGTGTTGATAAAATTTCTTCCTAACTTCGTATATGTGACATATCTAAAGCAGACTTAATCATTATCCCCAACTTTTTTACAATTCCTCTACTGTGATTCAAGCCCTCCATCTAAAAGGAACTTAGTTTTAGAATCTTAAATATAATTTTTCTTGGGTCTACTTGGAATTTTATCTATATTTAAATCACCTAAATTCCTATTAGTTGTAGGAAGAAATACTCTTTCACCCAAGTAATAAATCATCCCTTCTAGCCTTCTAGTTAATTTCATCTATGTAATAGAGGGTTTGGGTGGTTGGAGAGGCCCATGAAGTGGCCCCAGTTCCGTCCCTTCTCTGTTCCTTAAGCAAACAGAGCTACTACATCAGATATGAGCGTTTCAACTTGTCAGTGAGCACATTGATGAATCTACTCTCCATAAATTTCTTAACTTATTAACATCATGACCACTACGATCAGCTGAAGGCTTACTGCGTGCCAGACTTTACTAGATACTTCAATTAATCCTTAAAACTACCCTATGATTTGGGGGTGCAAAAACTGAGGTTTAGAGAGGTTAAGAAATACAATTAATGACACACCACGAGTTAGTAACTGGCATTTCTAAGATTCAAACTTGTGTCTATCTAACACAAGGTTTGTAATCCTAATTTTGTAATCCTCAGTGTGAAGCAATAGTCTTCCTGTTACCATATTGGATTATTTTAAGAATGCTTTGGAATACGTGTACTACCATCTCACTTTACCATTAGGCCTTAGTCAGGTTAGGCCAGTCTATACAGTGGTAAGAAATAAACTCCCAAATATTAATGGATTAACCCATAAAGGTGCATTTTTGCTCAAATAAATTATATACTGTGGGTCTAGTAGCTCTGCAGGACCGTTCAATCCCAAGCACGGATTCAAGGATCCAGGCTGATTACCTCTTCCTGTTATATCCACCAGAAGATGTGGCTGCTAACCTCTGTGCAAAAGAGAACTAGAAAGTTGCCCACTGTCTCTTAGGTGCTGCAGCCTGGAGTTGACATGGCTCTACCAAATTTCAAGGGCTCTGAAAAAAGTGGGGGAGGCCAGGTAAATTCAGTGAGCAGTGGGTGTCTCTGGCACAACTTACAAGTGCAAAGCCACACTGCTGCTGTAGAAGGTGGAGGAGATCATTGACCATGCCTGCTACGGAGGGAAGTGAGCTGCCATGCAGACTGGAAACCAACCATAACTTAGGGGGTGCAGTCAAAAGAGACATCAAATGAGACGAGATGGCTCATATCAAAGATGAGACCCCTCGACATTGGCTTGTGAGGGGGCATTTTTCAGAATGTGGAAGCACATCAGGACATAGGAAGTGAGGAACCCAGTATAAGGGCCTATGGGCTTATTTCAGCCCCATGGATTCAGACAACAAGGGATCTTAGGAGGCAGTATGTGAAATGGGACAGGCTCTGAGTCCTGAGAGCAAACATTTACACTTCTCATATGTGCTTGTGGATTTCCACTTGAACTTCCCTTAAGATTTAGTTATTTAGTATTTAATAATATTTAGTAATTTTTAAAGTTCCCATGCATCTCAGCTACCCAAGCAGGAGACAGGGGAAGGTTCGTGTTCATATGTGGACCTAAACATAAGAAAAGGAATCAGACAACATCCCGGGCCTTATTCCTGTCCACAGCACTTTCTATCTCCAATTCCTATTTTATTTCTTTCCATAGAATATACCACCTTTTATCCCACTATATACTTTACTTACTTTATTATCCATTTACACTAATGGAATGTAAATCCTATGAGGGCAGTGATTTTCATCTATTTAATTCACTGCAGTATCCACAGCGCATAGAATAAATACTATTTCATACATGCAAATCAAGTATAGAT